TTTTTTTTTTTTTTTCAGTTTGAGACTCTTTACCGCCCTAATCCTTCCCTCCCTCCAGAAACTGGTCCCAGTTTTTATCATTTTTTTTCTGATCCTTTGCGTTGAGCCTTTGTATTTATCTCCATTAAATAAAAAAAAAAAAAATATCCATGAGCAAAATCGGACACCGGGAAGATTTCTTTCGGCCATCGAGGCCCCCAGCTGTGATTTTCTCCTGGAGATGGGATAAACTCTTAATTTCTTAACCAAAATAATAAAATGTTTGGAGTTGGACCGGGGGGGGGGGGGGTCCTTGATGCTCTCTGAGCTTTTTGCTTTTCGTACAAAGGTTCCTGTAGCCTCAACACCGTCTGTCTTATCATTTCATCTCTGTTAGTGAGAATTAAGTCCAATACGGCTGATCCCCTAGTTCAGGGGTCCCCAATCCATGGACTGGTACCGGGCCGCGGCATCCCAGCAACCGGTCCACCCAAACAAGCAAAGCTCCATCCGCGGGATGCAGGCAGCACACAAAACCATGCACCTTCCGGTCCGCGGGAAAAAACTCTCCGTGGAACTGGTCCCTAGTGCCCCAAAGGTTGGGGACCCCTGCCGTAGTTCCCTTCTCTACTTTGGGGGAGACAAAGTTGTCTGCCAGGTTTCTCAGCCACCAGTTTGATCTTCCACTTGGGGCAGAGTTTGTCTCCCAGTTGATGTCAGGGTAGTTAAAGTCCCCCGTCGCTATTGTGGTGTGCTTCCTACAGACCTTAGTTATCTGACTAGCAAAAAGTGTGTCTATTTCCTCTGGTTGGGTGGCCTATATAGAGTATACAGCTGGAGTGTGCTGCAGCTGCCAAAAAGGCCAACACAGTGCTGGGCTGCATTAACAAAGGGATAGAATCAAGATCGCGTGAAGTGTTAATACCACTTTACAAGGCCTTGGTAAGGCCACACTTGGAATACGGCATCCAGTTTTGGTCACCACGATGTAAAAAAGATGTTGAGACTCTAGAAAGAGGGCAGAGAAGAGCAACAAAGATGATCAGGGGACTGGAGGCTAAAGCTTATAAGGAACGGCTGCTGGAATTGGGTCTGTCTAGTTTAACAAAGAGAAGGACCAGGGGTGACAGGATAGCAGTCTTCCAGTATCTCAGGGGCTGCCCCAAAGAAGAGGGAATCAAGCTATTCTCCAAAGCGCCAGAAGGCAGGACAAGAAGCAACGGATGGAAACCAATCAAGGAGAGAAGCAACCTGGAACTAAGGAGAAACTTCCTGACAGTGAGAACAATTAACCAGTGGAACTCCTTGCCTCCAGAAGCTGTGAATGCTCCAATACTGGAAGTTTTTAAGAAGAGACTGGACAGCCATTTGTCCGAAATGGTATAGGGTTTCCTGCTTGAGCAGGGGGTTGGACTTGATGACCTCCAAGGTCCCTTCCAACTTTATTATTATTATTATTATTATTATTAGAGTCTTTTAGGGCTGACCCTGTGTTTACTTTGTACACCAGGGGTCCCCAACCCCCGGTCCGTGCACGGGGCTGCGGCACGCCAGCAACTGG